TCTAAACAGTTTTTTCTTGACTACTGGCTAAACCATAAAATTGTTTTTCATCTGCATTCCAGAAAATCTTATCCTGCGTTCAATTTACATTTTTTGAATAAACGAGAACAGATAAGTAGCGCATGAAACGCAAATAAGTGGTCTTACTTTTCCGTCCTTCCAGACGACCATGTGCAACTTTCGGATCGCGGACGGAATGATCTCGACAGATTTCGCAGAATGATAAGCACTTCGACAGAGAATACGTTCTCCAACAGTTGGTTCCTTTTCGTCCGCAGCTTGCATAAGATCCAGCAAGGCCACACCTAACGTGAGAAATAAGTTAAAAGGTTGTTCCTGACCAAAACGCACAATCCCTGAGAGTTGAAGTTTAGAATACGCTTACCCTTTCTGTCAAACAAGCGGTAGGCGAGTTTCCGTCCTGGGATGTTCATTTTATGCACATTCTCACTGAGTTTTGCCGTGGGGATGCCGTTGATCTCCACCAATTTGCAAACGCAACCCAGGGCCGATTGTTTCTGGCAGGTGACCAGCTGTGTCCCGACCGCAAACATGTCAATTGAGTGACCCTAAATAATAAGCAGGGACAATCAACCCCACGAACTGGTTTTACTTTGAAGCAACTGACGTTAGTCCCTTGCAAAATTAAAAATCTGCATGGCCTCGTTGAAAGCAATGAGCACACAGATTGATGCTAACAGCCCACATCGAACGTGTACACCTCCACGGGGTTAGGGAAGAAAGAAGTGTCTCACGCAAAGACTGTGGTTCAGTACTTTGTGGTCAAACTCACATTCATGAACATTATGTAGTCGTAATGCGGCAACACTGCCTGTCCAAAATAGCCACGCATATCCTGGATACTGGGCAAGCCTCTGATCAGTACAAGACTCGGACAGTTCTCGCCCGCATATTCAAAATCGGCCGACAGTTCCTCGAGTCAATGCACTCGAATGTCTCGTACACTTATTAGATGCATGCCGCGTAAAATAATCAGGAATCACCAAAAAGATAGTCGAAGGGAAAGGATTTATTTCCAGGTACCAGTCAACCGCATTATATATTTTCCATACGTCCAACGATTTGGGAAGCAGTGGTGAAAACTGAGGCAATACAACTCGTAACATTTGGCAGGACTATATTGGACGTCAACAGATCTACATATTCTAGTACGAGAATTCACCACTCAGTGTACGAGATATACCTTCCCCCTTGTGCTCAGACGCTAAACCTATAGCTCTGGCAGTCATTGGCTCACCGACCGACGGGAATATAAATTCACACGCAAGTGAAACTTAATGACCCTTTTCAGTGAGGTACGCATCCTTCCTTTGTAAGAATAGAAATTTAAAACCGTGAGGGCCTTAGGAACGCAGGATTAAAACCTACGAAGATTACGATAATTGACTTTCTAACAATAATCGTCTAACCAAACCTCAATCTCACATCGGAAATCATCTTCGATCCGTCTTTTTTATTATCATTACCAGCCTACTTTGTTAATTTAGGTAGGCATGCTATGTAAGGAATACGTTCTGGTTGGGCTCAGAAGAATGCCCTAGGGATAGGTTAATGTTAAGTTTAAGTCGAGTTAAACCTTAGAATTGGGGTCAGAGTTAGGGCCAGTTTTGGACAAAGTTTGCGTGCCGCAGACTGTGTTAGCCAACTCAACCTTCTTTAAACAATAACACCGGTTTCGTATAAACCGAAAGGCAGGCATCCCAAGAAATGT